TCTGTCTGTCTGTCATGGACACGCTTACTCCTCTTAAACCACGCAACGGATTTGGTGAGATATTCTTAATAGATAGTGATCTATAAGAAACATTAATTTTTAAGTATTACTTGCCAGCAAAAAGTCTTATTCCTAAGGGAAAATGATTAGCATCGGGCGCAGTCGCTGGGGCCGCTTGTAAAAGGCTAAAATAAGCTCTCTGAAATATTGTAAGTATCTTTAGAACATCTGTAAAAAGAATTTTCTTCAAACAACCCCTAACAGATAACAACTCTACAAAACTAACACAGTTCTCGTAAGAGCACTCGGAACAAAGAGTTTTTTCTTTCAAGAACCACTAGTACCGCCCCGGAAAATTGTCTTCTTTGCTTCTTGATAAAACTAAAACTAGTTTGCAAGTGTTTTTCAAATTTTTTTACGATCTAGGCAGAGACTAGGACTTTTTGTAAAAATATAAAAATATCTCTTGGGACTCTTTTTACATAAAAGAACATAATTATGTGACAGTTATCAAGATTAAGAAGTCGAATACTTTTGTCTGTGGCCAGCACTTAAACCTGGGACCATGTTCTTCCGCTAAGCAAGTAATAGAGTGCGCGTATCGCCCCGCGCCGTACTGCCAAGCGTAAGCAATAGTTACATAGCCACCACCTACCACCTGGGCTACAGGCGACTAGGCGTCGCCAGTACAGATGGTGAAGGTCGCTGGTTCAAATCCAGCCTGCGGTGAAAAATTTTGCTAATGTAGGTAGTGTTTTAAATTTAGGTATTCAGTTCCATAGAAGGAGGGAAGCTCGTTTTGGGTAGTTCCATAGAACTTAAGCTCGTGTCTATCATGAAAACTGCCTTACCAGTACCAACAGTAGTCTCTGTGAGTTCTGTGACCGCTCCCATTCTTAAGGTCATCGCCCACCGCCACCTGGCGTAAATGAATTAGCCTGCACAACCACACTTTTTCAGGGTTTCGTAGTCTACTACAAACCCTTAAACTAGCTAACAAGTACTAACAGTAGTCTCTAAGGCTGCTTCTTAGAGTATATAAAGTGAAGTAAGCTATAGAGTGCGCCTAAAAAGTTAAACCGGTTTGCAGTAGCCTGCACACATCCTCTCTGTATGTCAGTAGCAAAACGCCAGTGATAGCACTGTTGAACCTCTATAACTTCTCGTACATTTGACGTCTGTATGTATATAGAATAACTGCTTCTGCTTTGACAGTACGGCGCGGGCTCTTACCCGCACTCTATAGCTTACCTATACTCTATCTATGGACTGCTCCCATTCTTAAGGTCATCGCCCACCGCCACCTGGCGCGAGTAAATGAATTAGCCTGCACAACCACACTTTTTTATTAAGCTCCTTATTGCGAACCAGAAATGGTAATTTTCTAGCCAGTGTGCCAGTTGGCTGTAATTTACTCTAGATATCTAGATTGTTTTATAGGATTAACTGTAAATGTGGTAGCCTGCTAAACAAGCATTAGTAGGATAAATAAGTTACTTGAATATTGGTGCCGTGTGATGCCGGCTTAGAATAACATCACCCCAATTCTACCTGATTATGGGATAATCATCCAGGGAATGGGCAGCAGCGTTCCCTGTAGTAAATGCAACATCTTGCACTGCGCTTCAATCCGCCTGGCAAGCGTGGTGAGTATGGCAATACCCCCCGATAGGAGGAGGCTCATGTCCATCTGTGGACTGTTGTGGCTGTTATGGTATATCTTGAACTCCTGTGAACTGTATGAAAAACCAGTACATATTGAGCTCCATTATTTAGGCAATTTCCCAAATTGTAACCAGTAATTTAAACTACGTCCTCTGACACCTGTTTAGTTGTTTAATTATGTTTTTAATTAACCTGTTTTCCTCTGTTTCAGGTAAACAAGTCCACAATTAACGCGAAACAACCGCGGGATTGGAATCACGGTTGGTAAACAAACAAATATGCAGTAGGAAAACAGTGGTGTAAACCGGGTTAACCTATAGGGAAATCAACGTTTTCCTCTGTGGTCTAGTGGCGATTTTGGTCTCAGGATCTGGATCCCAGATTCGATTCTTGGGGTGGGGAGTGACATATTTTGCTACCTCATCAATACTCATCATCATCAAATAATATTCTATCTGGTATCTTTTGAGCCTTCTCTTTGAATTCCTTACACGAAATGTATGACGCCTATCTTCTCCTTGACTTGGTCCATGTACGCCCTAGAAGAAGAGGGAGACCTTCTTCCTTCAATCATAACTTCAATTACGATTTTTAGTAAGTCGTCATGTGGTAATAAGTGTTCTAGCATGTTTCCTCTTCTGTTTTCTATAACATTCAATAAGTAGTTGTTTTCTCCTTCACTAGATTTAGCACTCCTTCGTTTGTCTTTCTCTCTGTCCAACTTATTTGCTACCTCTTAAGAAAAGATTATTCCCAAGTTGATTAGCAGACTGATGATTATATTATTTCTCTCTTCGTGTGGGACACAGAGTCGTTAAACGACCCGATGCTACCATAAGCTTCGTAACGTTCCCCCAAAATTGGTACCGGAAGTCACGGTTTCTCCAAACTTCCGGCAAATTCCGGGCCTTTAGGTGCATAATGTCCATTTTGCAAAATGTCCAGTGGTGAAAAAATGTCCAGTTTGCATAATGTCCAGTTTGCAAAACATCCAGTTTGCAAAATGTCCAGTTTGCAAAATGTCCAGTTTGCAAAATGTCCAATTGCAAAATGTCCAGTTTGAATATTATCTGACTTGAAAATTACCAGTTTGCAAAAGTACAATTAGCGAAATTAAGGCCGCTATAGAGCTTTTCACGAAGCCTATACAATTTTCCCTGCCAGACCTCTCGGAGCGTCATTTTGCGAAAAACATGGGGATGTTTGAATATTTTTTACAGTGATATTATGAATAAAAATAAATATATTTTTCTGCAATTAGATTAAGTACATCTTCTTAAATAACATATATTTTTTAAAATCTTTACTACTGTTATTTTTTCATACAGAAGCCGTTATAATGGCGGATTATTTTGCAAAAAATCGTATATAAAAACGTGGTATTATTCTATATTTCTGAATAAAATTGTAAAATGTTCACTGTAGACTTTGTTCTCAAATATATACTCTATTTTTTTGTATAATTGATATTTTTTTACAGTGAACCAAAACTCTAAAACTCACGCTTGATTTGAGGTCTTTTCCTGAATTTTGGTTTTGTCGCTTTAGATATCGCTGTTTGTATCAGGTTTAAAACTAAAATGTTAATATTTACATTGTACATTTTTTAGATGAAGATATGCTTGATTAAATGTTCAAGTAACATATTATTTTTACATAACGGTTTTCGAGAAACTCGCATGTTTATAAAGCCAATATTTGCAAATTTGCTAGAAAAAATTGAATGCGCTCTTAAGGTGCTAGTTCAGACCATGAAAGCGAACAACTTTCCCCAAAACACATTGGTCAGTGACCCAGTATTTCATGTAAACTGGACGTATTGCAAACTGGACATTTTGCAAACTGGACTTTTTGCAATTGGACATTTTGCAAACTGGACATTTTGCAAACTGGACATTATGCAAACTGGACATTTTTTCACCACTGGACATTTTGCAAAATGGACATTATGCACCTAAAGGATTCCGGGTTGTGATTATTCTGATTCTTGATTAGTGCAAATTTTCCGACATGCTGCCATGCGTCTCATCTTGATGTCATGTGACGTAGGTATTTCTAGGATGGGCCAACGGACTATGAGATGGTTTCGTGAAATTATAGTTTTCTTATTTTGCGTTGGGCACCAATCATGATTATGATTATCACACGTGAAAACGTCTTTAAAGAAGTAAAAATTTATAATTTTTTCTAGGTTAAACAACATTAAACATAACCTACAAAGTTTATTTTGGTTTCTCGTTTTCCTTATTCGATTCGAGGTCGGCTACATTCGATTTGTCATCGATTTTGGAATTGGAAAGTTGTAAGAAATATGGAATATCGTATCTGGCCGCAGGATGTTGAGTCGCTGCCAAATCGAGCCAGACCACCCTTAAGTAGATACCTACGGTTGGCCATAGCTTGAGTTTCCATTTAAGGTATCAATATGCACTGGTTATCCGTATAGTGGTTACGAATGGCAAATATCAATTGCCCTTAAATTGGTAAAATCGAGCTGCTAGTACTTCTGATATACTTTATCGACTTAGGATGTACGCTCGTTTGACCTTTTCGTATCTCAGTACTGATAGGAGGAACAGTCCTTTAAGGTGCAAGTTCGTCATGCGCGGCCGTTCGCAGCCGCGTGCGGCCATGCGACTGACAAGCGCGGCCGACTCGGCTTTAGTCGTAGTATGAAAGTGATGAAAGGCACGGCAACATGCGTCTGTCGCACCTTTACAATGTCTTGAGGATGTAGAAACTTTTGATTTTACAAAAAACCAACAAACTAGATTTTCTACCGCCCATTAATACGATATTAGCAAATCTAGCCAAAAGCGTTCATTATTTCTGTTCTCTAGTCGTAATTGGAAAAGTTGGGGGATCCTTAGGTCTACATCAGACCCTATTATCCTGTCATTCGCTCGCCGCCAGTGGAATTGACCGCTCTGGACCCTCGGTTACATACTAAATTCTCTTTGTTACGAGCCTTTGTTCGAGGAGCTTTCCATTATTTTCATGTTTCATATCTACACCCACACTATTTTATCTCTCTATAATACAGTGTTTTTTCTTTCCAGTTAGAAGACCTTCTTCTCTTACTTTTCGTAGGGACACGTTCAATTTCTGAAAGTAATAAATGCGAAATCAAATTTCAACTTTGTCTATCTCCCCAAGATATTGAACTAGAGAGGCCCTCTAGGTGGGACCAAAGTCTGACCACGTGACCACATAGACATTTGGATATAATAATTTTCTAATGCAATCTTTTATGGGATATACTCGCTCACGGTCTATTATTTCTTAATCAGCTTTCAGCATTATCTTCTTCTTCTTGGGACTTTCAACTTTGTTAGTGACATCACCGGAAATTGAACCCGGAACCTTCTGCGTCGCAGGCAGACGTAACCACTACGCTGCGCCACATTGGTTGTCAATTAAAATCAATACCCATTTTCTTGTAAACTCTTACACATCAATACCTTTTTGAGTTTCTAACCATTTGACGATCATTATGATTAGTTTTATACATCCTAAACCCTGGGAGTATGAGACCTCATAATTACATAAATACCTGTCCATTGCTTATGAAAAGAAACCGTTTCTACGACAACAGCCGAAAAACAGCCCGAGCAAGATGGTCGTAGTCATATTTTCTGTGAAATTCGCGTTCATTTAAGCCGGGAAGTAGGGTTGCTACTTGCCACACAAACATCGGCAGAATAAGTTAACTAACTAAAGAAGCAGTTAACTAAAGTAAGTAATGATAATGATTTTTCAGAAGAAAGACATTCATCATCATTATTTCAGCTTTTACCGATGCACTGCTCGACATAACCTTGATTCTTTTTCGAGCCATGAATCCCTATTTTGAGCCAGTGAACCAGTCTCCTTAAATTGACGAATACGATATTTTTACAATACTAGGCTAGCCGTTCTACAGCGCACTATAAGGAAATTCGGGCTTACCAAAAGTCAGCCTTGATGTCCAAAAGTCTGGGTAACAATTCTAGCTGGTCCGGTTTTCAACTAGGCAACCCTACCCGAGGCAGGGGTGTCACCTCCCTACCTCCCGAGGGGTGGCGCACGCAGACCCTTAAAAATAGCTGGCTGAGCCCGGGAGCGCTCAATGAAGCCCCTATCCACCTCTTGGCTACTGGCGCTACTGCGTAGTTCTTTCAGCATTATTTCATTAAATTTGATCACTAGTTTTTTCTTGTCTTGTCTCGCGCACATAATCCTTGAAAGAGAGTTTTGCGTCTTGGCAACCCTAGCCGAGGCAGGGGTTCAGGGGTGTCACGTCCCCACCTCCCGGGGGTGGCGCAGACCCCTAAAAATAGCTGGCTGAGCCCGGGAGCGCTCAATGAAGCCCTCGTCGGGGGTGCGGCTCACCCCGCCTCTTGGCTACTGCGTAGTTCTTTCAGCATATTTCATGAAATTTGATACCTTGTTTTTTCTTGTCCTATGTGACGCATAATGTCAATGTCCTTCAGGGTAGGTATAAATAAATAAATAAATAAATAAATATCCCTGGACGAGACACACAGCGCCATCTAGCCCCAAACTAAGCAAAGCTTGTACTATGGGAACTAGACAACTGATATAATACTTACATACTTTTTTTTTTTTTTTGTAAATAAATACATATTATACATAGAAAACACCCAGACTTAACACAAATACTTGAAAATTGACTTTACAAATATTTGTGTCCAGTGGGAATCGAACCCACGACCCTTGGCGTAGAAGGCAGGTGTACTATCCACTACGCCATCGGGACAGTCGGTATAACGGAGAGGTCCTACATTGCAATTGATTAATTTTAGGAATATTTTTCTTATAGCAGTGGTAGGACTGCTGACTGGCACAGAGTTATTTATATGTATTTTTGCTACTCTTATACATATATAGACATACATACATCACGCCTTTATCTCTTGCGGGTTAGGCAAAGCGTCAAAACGGCCGTAAAAATGCGGTCGTTATCGCCACGTCTGTCAAATATTTGAGGGCTGTTTTAGCTAATGTCGTGTATCGCTATAGTGACAGGTTGCAATGCACATGAAACCCTGGAGTCCTTTAGTCACTTCTTACGACACCCACAGGAAAGAAATGGGGTGATAAGGAGAATATCGGCTGCTCTACTATAATGTTTTTACTTAAGACTCACTCTGCCCTGATTAGAACTTTTTATTATATTCAAATGAAATCGTCGTTTTTCCAAATTAATTTGCTTGGCAACCAATTCAATTTACCTGAATGCTGATTAAATTGTAACAGAGAACGATTTGGAAACAGATTAATTTCGACCGAGACAGTGAGACAGTTTTTGGGCTTCTAGAATTACTTACTGATTATTTAGTTTGATTACCTATTGATTAGGTTTGCAGGTAATATTGTAAGAAACTAAAAGCCCTTCCAACAAATAATTAATCAGAGTCATAATTTTTCTTATATACCCATTATCCTGTGTGAATAACATGTTCCATCTCCCTTTGTTAATTTTTAATTCCACTGTTTAACTGTTTATCATCCAATTTAAGAAAATAAAGATAAAATCCTTTGCAAAAAACTCGTCGTTTCTTATTCGCCGGTATGGTACTTACAATAAGTAACCGCATCTTTATAGGATGAAATTTCTAAAACATATGTACATACTTATACCTATACCTATACCTAATACCACCCTCTCCCTTCCATTGTAAGGGGATAGTCCATTCATGAGTGAATCGCCTCTTATTGAGTAAAATGTAGAAAGAACCTCTTAGTGCATAAAATCTCTCCTGAAATTCTGATGGAGAAGTCAGGCTTACATGGCTATGATAATATTTACTGATAAGTGACAACAATACTTTATACCAAAAATCCACAAGTATGAGTTGTCTTTGCAACAGAATGCATTTTTATCGGTTTAACTATCATATCAGAGTCCAAAAATAAAATAGGTACCTAAAATGATATCTTACATACCTATTCGGTTCATCTACTTTGCTTGGTCGACTGAACTCAATGGTATCCTCGAGGTACCCTAAGTTGTTGGACGTAACCGAGTTTGTTTTTCAAGTTTCTTGTTTCCTTGACAAATCCTTTTCGTCGTTCGCTATCGGTTCAACTTTTAGCGAGATATTTCGTGTCACAGCGATATCCGTTTTCTTTAAACTGCTTTGTTTTCAACCTTTTAAAATATCATGTACAGTTGTGTTCTTCTTCCTTTTAGCCATTGTCAACTTTTATTGTAGGCTTTTTTGAAATTCCTACATTGCTTTCTGTTTTGCAGTAAATGCCCCGTTACTGTTGTAACATATATCACGCCTATATCCTTTGTGAAGTAGGCAGAGCGTAAACGGTTGGAAAAACGGCCTTTTACTTCACGTCTACCGAAAGTATGAGAGTCAATCAGAAGACTTTGTGTGTATCACAAATAAACAATAAATATAATAGATACGTATGTTAAGCACATCTATCATTGCAGAAACCTAACTATTCATCAACCACATTATTCTATCTCTACCTATAGGTAGGTATAGACCAATATACCTGCGGGAAAATTCCTAATCTTTCCACATGCGACCTCGATATAAACATCAAAGAGCGCCGTGAAATTATTTTAACCTCACTTCGTTATAAAATCCAATATGGAAAGTCCCCAGGTAAAGCCGGAAGACAATTTTACCGCAAACCCCGGCAACTGCGTAGATCGGAACGGAATTAGGTTATACCGGGGTAAACAAGGTATTACGGGCTCAGAATATTTGCCTGCCCTAAGCTCTTATTTGCTTCTAGAAAAAGCTGCAGGAAAATTTTACATAGAATACTTTTTTATTATTATAAGTTAGGAGTAGTCGATAGCGTCCCGCGCGCCGTTTCCCTAATTTGTGGTAGCGTAGCGTTGGACGCTCTCCGGCCAGCTGAAACTATGACTTATAGTGGCCTGGTGGTATTGACTGGATGGCGATAGTGGGAGATCATGCATTATTGCGTACCTGAGGCCTTCTTCCAGCTGTATACTGCTGTAGACTGATATGATGTGGTGGTGGTGGTAATGATGATAGATAGTGAGTTTTGGTTATGATAGTGAGTTTTGGTTATGACTTTGGAAACTAGGATCCCCTTACTCCTACAGCCACAACAGTGCACTGCTGGACATGGGCCTCCCCCGAATCGGGGGTATTGCCATACTCACCACGCTTGGCTGGCGGATTGGCGAGCGCAGTACAAGATGTGTAATTCACAGGGAAAGCTGCTGCCAAACCTTAGTCGCTTTTTACGACAGCCCCGCGCTGAATTGGGGTGATGCTATTCTAAGTCGACATCACACGGCATTAGAGATAGCAATATTTAAAAATATGTTTTAGTAGGTACATACGTAACTTCTTATCAATGAGTACACATTTCTACATGTGACTTGGTTTAAATAATGATGAATAACAGTCTGTATGTCACTGTTATCTCATATTTATCATGATAAGGTATAAAAAGAATTGAGAATTCCACAAATAATAAAACTAAGCAAACATAAAAATGTGCCACACCCTAAATAACACCGAATTAGGTGTAACATACCTGCGTATAAGCAATTCAGTTGCGGAATTTTAAATTGTATGAAATACTTACGACATCCAACAACACTAACCGTAGGCGTATTTTAGACTTCAGTAAGTAAACCGATGTCCTTCGACCAGATGGAACGAAGACTTGGAAAAGCCGGCTGGATTTGACTGGATGACGAAAACGGAAGATCGTGCATTGAGTTCTCTGTGGAGGCCAACGTCCATCAGAGGACTGCTATATAGGCTTGTGTGATGAAGAGTAAAAATGTATATGATAACAACGATGTAATAAACTTTAAAAGTACTTCCAAATGCGAAAGCATTTTTTAACAAGGAGCTCATTTTAAATTGCTTGGTTAACGTAGGGATTTCGCGTAATTGGCAACCAGAAGCCAACCGATAACATTGCAGCTATAAAAAACCCTCGTTACCAATTACTTTTTATAATTTCATAGCTTCTGTGTTGAACTGAAAGCGATAATATTGTTTATGTATTTGTACAAGTAGCTTCTTCTCCCATAGGCATGCTAAAAATATCCTAAACCGTGTGGTTCCGGCTTCGAATATCATTTCCTCGAACCTAGCTGTGGCGATTTGGCGAACAAATCAAATGTGAGTGTTTTTTGTAAAGGGCATCATCACGTCGGCCTATTGCTTTCCACTGCTGGCCGTATACCTTCCCCAGGGTACACGATAAGGCACGATCTCCTGATTTCGCCGTCCAGTCACTACCAGCAGCCTTCTTTAAGTCATCGATCCATCTGGCCTTAGGGCGTCCAACGCTACGCTTGGCGAGTTTTGAAAAAGGCATATAGGAACAGTTCATACATGACTTTTAGTTACTTTGCCTTAAGTTTATTTACTAAACTAG